TAAAGTGCTGAAAGCCAGAACAGCCAACAGACCCTGAATAAAAACACTGAATCCGTCCATCAGTGATCCGTCCACGCAACCCTGATACTCCGGACTCACCAGATAACTCATATTACTGCTACTCTTCCAAAAAACAAACATGTTTACGTGTAGCAATCCAAAGAAGAGTCATAAGATCCTTCGCGCAAACGACTTAAGCCGATTTTCCGTTTAACTTCACTGGCCAGAAGACGAAGACATTTGTACGACAGACCGATGAACCGAGAGACCGCATATACAACACTGGACCTGTTGAAGTCGTGTTGAAATTGAGCGATGTGGCATAATATAGCGCATTTCTCTCAGGCCACTTTCTTTCCTTCTTTCTTTCTTTCGTATTCTTGAGTCAACAAGGGGGAAAGCGGCTTGCAGACGTCACCTCCTGCTGCTGAAATCTCCTGCAGCCCTTTGTCCCCCAAACACTCATGTGCTGATGTGAATGCACTCACCAGGTCAAACTACTTTTTTTAATTATTATTATTTATTGGAATTATATTATATTATATAGAGTACAATTAGATGTATTTTATACATTCTGCAAAATATTTTCTGAATAAAAAAAACTAAAAAAATCGTATGACAGCTATAGGATGTTTACCCTGGGGGGCTTATTGCACCAGGTAGAGGGTCATCTTACATCAGTTTTCAAAAGTAAACTTATCTGAGAATATGAGAAAAAGGTGTCTAGTCTTTATTATTTCTCATTATTGTAATAAAAAAAGAAAAGAAATCACCAAATAAGTATTTTAAACCAAAGTTAAAAAAAATAAAAACAGAAGTTATTGATGGACCTCTTGGAATAGGGAAATCGATTGTTCTAATCAGTTCCAATGTATGTTAGTGTACTTGTGTGATGAATCTGCTGAGCTCTTGGACCTTATAAAAAAAATAAACCATTCAAAAAAACACTGAAAAATACAGTTGTTTATCAGAAGTTATCACAGAGCACTAAGTGAGTGTTGCTCAGCCTTTTTTAAGCCACTTCTCAGCCGTGACACACAGTAAAAGGAGTGTAATGGGGTGGGACTGCTTGGCTTTTTCAGCTTCAATGATCCATAACTCTGAAGACATTAAGTCATGCAATGCAACAATGAGCCGGAACATAGGAGCACAGCTGAAACGTGTCAAACAGAAGAAATTACATTTGACTTTAAAGAGAAAAAAAGAGAGTGTTTTGACCCAGTGGTTGGGTTACTACCCAGAAGGTTGGGTTAAACATTTAACCCAACTGCTGGGTCAAAACAGCCCAACAGCCCAGGGTTGTCCCTATTTTACCCAGCACTGGGTTGTATTTAACCCAGCATTTTTTAGAGTGTAGGACATATAAGCACAATGAGGTGCATTAATCAGCAACTACAAACTGTATTTGGTTTATTGCTTATAAAAATGATACCATGGTAAATCAGTCGGAAATCGCACAAGTTTACAATCAATAACTGACTATGTAAACCATTTGTTCAACAGATATTGTGTGGCATGTTTTTCACTATGGTTGACTACTATATTTAGGAGCTGTTATCACAGCAGATTTAGTTTGTTTCATGTTTTGAAGTCAGGTCCTTATGTCATGCCTTTTATTTTGAACTCTTGTCAAGCTTTGTTCAATGTAGCTTGCTGTATAGGTGTGTCTGTTTATTTTGCATTCATTATACTTTTTAAGTATGTATTTACACTACCATTAAAAAGTATCTTATACTCACCCAGGCTACATTTATTTGATCAAAAATACAGTAAAAAACAGTGAAATGTTATTACTGTAACATTTGGCAACTCATAGACACATAAGAGCAGGATCCAATTGCTGATTATGATTTTTAAAATAGCATTATGAAATACAAGGGACAGAAATCCCGGACACAAAGAACAAAACTGAGCAAGCCAACAAAACATACACAGAGAGACAACACCTGGCCATAACCACAGGAAACACTAAAGCTTATGCACAGTGGTAACAAGGATAACAAGACACAAGTGGAAACAATGAGGAAATAATAAGGAACTAATAAGGGGTACAAGATTATAAAGAAAAAGATGACAATAATAGCAGCTCTGGGACCACCGGAGCAAGGACTGCCAGGCTTGGAACCTCCGGGACCACTGAAGCAGAGACCACCATGGCACTGAGATCACCAGACTTGGGACCACTGGTCTAGGGAGTGCTGGCACCATCAAGCTAGGGAAAGTTGGGACAACTGCCAGATTAGGGAGAGATAGAACCACAAGTTAGGGAGCACTGAGACCACCAGTGCTGGATCCATGGCTAGTGGTCAAGTCTTCTGTAACGTTTGGTAACCCAGGAACAAGAAAAAGCAGGATCTGATTGCAGATCATAATTTATTAAAGAAAATAACAAAATACAAGAAACAGAAATCCAAGGAACAAATGAACAAACCTGAGCAAGCCAACAACACAAATGGACATGACATGAACATAACCACAGGAAACACTAGAGCTTATACACAAAGGGGTAATTAATAAGAGGGAAACAGGAACTGAAAGCACAAGACTTCAAACTAGTCAACATAACAAACACAGACAGAACTGTAATTACAATTTTAAATAGCTGTTTTTTTTATATATATATTTTTTAAATGTAATTTATTCATGTGATGCAAAGCTGAATTTTCAGCAGCCAATACTCCAGTCTTCAGAGTCACATGATCCTTCAGAAATCGAAATGCTTATTTGGTGGTTTATTACTATTATAAATGTTGGAAATAGTTGTGCTGCATTATTTTTGTAGAAACTGATACCTTTTCTAAGGATTATTTGATAATAGAAATATTTTGTAACATTATAAATGTGCAGGTATTTACTGTCACTTTTGATCAATTTAACATCTTTGCTGAATAAAAGTAATCATTTAAACATTTTTAGATTGTCTCTTTCAAAAAATAAATACATCTTACTGACTGTTAGTGTATGTACATTATGAAATACATATGCACATATATTGCTTACAACCCATGTGTCTCATGACTAACAGTAGGCACATACCCTCATTGCATTATGGGAGTGATTCCTCCCTCCACGGAGACTACTGGTATCCAGCTGTAGCCTACGGTCAGAGAAGTGCTCAAACATGAAAAAAATAGACTGTGTGTATAATAATAGCTGCCTTTGTTGTATTAATGATGGAAACTGCAAACTACTAAATACTGATTTTAATGGGGGTGATCATATAAAATACATCAAAGTAAAATGGCTACAAACATACATAGAAAAATGTTGTCAGGTAACCTTTAAATGTGTTTCATGGTAACGTCTAAATTAACTGTTAACCAAATCTTAATAAAACTGATCAAGTTACACAGATAAAAAAAACATTTTACGGACTTGTCAGGTAACACTGCACATTTTTACAGTGTAGTTAAAAATCTGGAACCTGACATTTTGAAAAGCGTTGTAAATTCGGTCTATAATGTGCTATGGAATACTTTTCTGAAGGCCTGTATACCAAATTATGAGCTACCAGATAATGTCCAGAGCTAATTTCCCTAGGCAAAACTTTCAGTACTATGCCACAGCATGAAGAGGATAAAGTATAGACACACATTGTCTATCTCCTCTCGCAAGGTTGCTGCTCCAGCAGTGGTAATCTGTCCCTGGACGTGCTTGTCACAGTCTCCTCTTGTAGATTAAGCTCAAGGCATGAACCATCTGTTACTGTTACATCACTAAGTGGAAGCCTGCGCTTATTTTTTTCTTTTTGGCTGTTGCTGGACAAGGAATTTCACCTTGTTTGTGCACATAGTGACCTGAATGTGTGAGTGGTTTAGAGTGTTGATGGGAGTTTCCCGATAAACTTACTTCGGCACTGATGCTAATGAGAACATTTTTGAGAAATCTTTTTTTTTTCTTTGCTCTGGAGGAGTAGTACTTTACAGTGCGCTGTAAACTGTAAAGTATCAGATTGATGTCAATTTAAATTCAGCACAGCAATGAATACTGTTACCACAGGATGGCAATGGAGGACAAGATGAGCACTGAATTTGTAAATCTGAGCAAGGATTGCAATTTCGAAAAGTGAAAATAATTTAACACTTTAATTTGCAGTTAGATACACTGTAATATTTATTACATAAAGCTGTGATGAATGTACACTGTAAAATATATATTTGCCAGGTAACATAACGGCTTCTAAATTAATGGCTTCAAGTAAATTCAAGTGAAAAATTATTACACAACTCACATTTTAAGATGAGGTAGAAATAGACCATTAAGATTGTTATAACGTTTTAACAATGTAGCTTACATTGTCATATACATATAATAGTCATAGTTTTGTAAATGAAAGTTATATTTACTTTATTTTGTTTTGATGATTACTATCATGACTCTAAATAATGACTTTAAACTGAAAACATTCTCCCCCTGTACTTTAAAAGGGGAAATAACGACTAAATGAAATTCTATGAAAATGTTCATTTTTTCTTTTTTTAGTTTTAATATAAAACATCACTTTGAATTATACTTACAAACATGGAAGTAAAAAGATACTCCAAACGTAAAACGGTCAAATGGTTTTTGCGTATAAGAGTGAAGAAATAATCGAATAGATGATAGGTCGGTTAGGTTGCAACAGCAGCCCCCTCTTGTTTACACTGTCTGTGTATCAAAACCTAGTGAGTTACCTACATAGAGAGCATTTTATGAGCATTTTCACCGTGTTCCTGCCCAGCAGTTTTGGCCATCAAAATGTCGAAAGCGCTCAAAAACGATGCATGCGTCAATGATGCCCAAAAATGCTGCACGCGCTTATGAATGCCCAATTACTGTCCATGCAGGCGGCTCGCAAGGTTTTAAGACACAGCCACGAGTTTCCCCACACGAGGGAGGCGGAGGCTCGGGCCCATTTCTATTTATAATGGACTGAACAAATTTTGCAACTGTAAAGGTCAATGAAGGAGTCGGCTTGAAAATAATCTGTAGATGTTGAGACATGCGCAGATGCAGGATGATGCCATATTGGACACACACATACACACACCGCTCCTGCTTCAACCAGAACACCGGATCGCTCAATTCTGATAGACGGCAAAAACTCGCATAAGGTAAAAACTACATTATCAGCATGAACTTCATTCTATAATAGTGATCGTGACTGACACGGACTCGTGCTTCTTTGCGCGAATTTCCGCGTACAGGCGCTTTTTCCTCGTTAAAAACATTTGGAGGTTGTTCGTAACAGTCAGAAATATACAGAAGCGTCTGCGTAGGAGTTGACAAAACGGTCCGAAAAATAAAGTAACCTTATTTATACATAACACGAACGTCGAGGGACCGCACTTTCGATTCTGCCGATAAATATATTTACGATCCAAAGAGACGCGCGCTGGAAATGTCGCTGAAAAATAACGTTTATGTAACAAGCGATATTTTGGTGCCGTGCTCTTCCTCAAAGCGACTCTCGCTCTGTTACTATATGACTTTATCTTCAAACTGCCATTTGACCTCCTTTCGTTTTCAAAGGACACAACGTTCAGGCGTAAATATCAACACTTCAGTTTACATTTTCGTGCGGTGTAAAGGTTTTTGAACGCCACGAACCGGTCGGTGTGCGTGATTCAGGTGCGCAGAATATGCGCCGAGATCCTCGTTCCTAATGTGTCAGATCCACTTTCAACATGGCGGGTTAAGGTGTGTTAAAACTGCCATGCAAAATCTTTGAAGAAGGAAAAAATAAAACCGCACTGGTTACGCATCCGGTTTTCGTTTCTTTCGCTGCACCTGGACGTGATTTAATGAATTAAATTCAAAGTTGTCGTTTGGCGACGTCGGTGAAGTTTTTTTCCGCTGCAATACTTTTAGAGTGTGTAAAGTACAGTTGTGGATCACACATGCTCATACAATATTTCCTGTTTCGCTTTCTGCACTCTTCGCTGTGCGGGGCTGATAAAGCCATAATTTTATTCGCATATTATTGCTATTTATCAATCGCTTCCCCGTTTTCAAAAAGCTATTTATTAAAACAAGACACGCTTTGAGGGATGAACAACCCGTCGTGTTCTTGTCAAATCAATTAAGATTATTTTGAATTAAAAGTGATTAATTTTCGGCAAAATGCGAGTTGCTATTTATTTGATTAACCTTTAGTTTATGTCGCCGTAAATCCATGGGGTTTTATCCATGAATTCATACGGGCGGATTAAATTGATGGCAGAAATGAAAGGGAAATGGAGTCACGCGTTTGGAGATGAGATGAACTCAGATGAAATTATATATTTTTAATTCTCGTTAATTCTCTGCCTGACCTGAAAGAGATGAATACGGACAAGTCTCTTCATGTCTACGCTGGTCTTTAGGCTTTTTAGACTATCATATAGGCTAAATATAGCAGGCCAATTTAAGAAGCATTTGATTAATTAACCCGCTCTGCCATGAGAAATGAAGATAACAGCTACAACACTTCAATAATACGGTTATAGAATTCGTGGCATCCAAATCATCGGATGTGTTAAAATACTACCTGACTGCGGAAGCTTCGATAAAGCTTGACATTTGAATCGATTGTGCGTGCCCTCACAGTTGAGCCAGAAACCAACCAGCTATATGGAATATATTGACCCGCTAATTGAGGCCTCCTAAAAGTAGCCTAAGTCAAAACAAAAGGTTGTGGCCCACGTATTATATTTGACATACAGCTTGATACACAACGTTTCAGGATGCACAAAGTTTAGGGGTTATCGAGTGCATAGATTATCACTTATCACAAGTTGCTTTCGTCTGAGGAGGTAATAGCAACAGTACGCAGCTTGAGCACGTCCAGTACGTAATGTGTGACATTATAGATTTACATACAGCAGAAACGTTAAAAAAAGTAGGCCTATACTGTAGCAGTGAAGGCCAATTATATTTTGGGCTGTGCGATATTCCCTTTAACATCTTGTGATCTGAGTATTACGTTGCAGAGTATAATTCGCACACTTGTTGATAACATGTAAAGTACTGGCAAGCAATATTTAAGACATGGTAAACACACACACGCTGTTAGATGTGCAGTGAGAGATATGCGATATGTCTTTAGGGGTTATCGAGTGCATAGATTATCACTTATCACAAGTTGCTTTCGTCTGAGGAGGTAATAGCAACAGTACGCAGCTTGAGCACGTCCAGTACGTAATGTGTGACATTATAGATTTACATACAGCAGAAACGTAAAAAAAAAGTAGGCCTATACTGTAGCAGTGAAGGCCAATTATATTTTGGGCTGTGCGATATTCCCTTTAACATCTTGTGATCTGAGTATTACGTTGCAGAGTATAATTCACACACTTGTTGATAACATGTAAAGTACTGGCAAGCAATATTTAAGACATGGTAAACACACACACGCTGTTAGATGTGCAGTGAGAGATATGCGATATGTCATAGGGTAATCAGATAGTTTACCCTCGGGTCGCACAGATCGGGTGACTGCCTTTGTTCTAATGTGGATTGAATAATGCAATTTAAACATCTTGAGGTACAGGAATGAATGGGTAGTGTTTATTCTTATTTGGGATATAGGCTTATGCATAGCCTACTATCCTACATAGCCTATATTATCTATTGCCAACAGCATGAATTTGCCTTTATAATGTCAAAAGGTTTTTACAGAGAATGATGGAATCATGGGCAGTTTTCTTTGGCTGGTAAAGAGTAAAAAGCAAGGAACTGAATACTGTACCTTGGTGATGCCATCATTTCAGTAATGCTTTAGAGCAATGCTTAATGCTTTACTATAAAAGTTGAATGTCATAACATCAGGTATGAATGTCAAAAATGATAGTGACAAGTCATGTTATACATGTTTGTTTCAGTCCATTTGACTTCGTCACTATACTCTTCAAGTTTTTTTTCTAACTTGATTGAAGTAAATTCAGAGTGGTTGGATTAAATGTAATGAACTTAACACAATAAGTTGGTACTTTGGCATTGCAGTTTGCTGTGTAAAAGGGAAATTGTTCTGGGAAATAGAATTTGCGATTTTACACTCATTTTCACATGTTCAACATGAGAACGATTGAAGTCTTTTATTTAATATACATATAAGGCACCAGCAGAGGACTGATCAGACCACACAGTTGTAATAGATGCTGTAGGCCTGCTTGAGTTCACAACATGCATTGCAAATTAAGTAATTATGATGATCTATCCATTCAGTTGTATCCGACTCTCGGCGACCTTATGGAGTAATATTTTTCATGCTTTCCTGTCGAGCACTGCTTCTTTCAACTGTTTAATGTTCATATTAGTATCTATTTGGGTCAAGCAAGTTCTTTTTCCTCCCAGTGGCGTCGCTAGGAATTCTGGGTCCATTGCGCTGATTTTGCTATGGGGCCCCCCTAAAAATCACCTTTAGGTTGGGGGTCACGATCACAAAATCACGTTATGTGGGCGGGGCGCTCCTCTCAACCTCTGCCCTATGCACTCTGTCCCCCTTTTCCCCGCAGTGGCCACGCCCCTGGCCCTCCCCTTCTTCTGATCGACCATTCCCCACATTACTGACTTCTCTAGCAAGTTTGCCTGCATAACGTGGCCAAAGTTAGTCAGTGGTAGTCTAATGATTTCAGCTTCCAGTGACGACCCATGGTTTTATACAATACTTCTCCTAATTCATTATACAGATTAATTATTGTTTTATTGTTTGCTGCTTTTACTTGTGCTGTTGTCGTTGGCACTCCACAGTCATGTGGTGATTTTTCAAAGCTCTTTTTTTTCTTCTTTTTTTTTTTTACTCATTACCAGTATTGAAGTCCTAATGTATAATTGAATACTTGAATTTATTTGGCTTCTCTGTTGGTTCAAAATATTTTTTCAATGGAGCTATTCCAGGACTCTTGCCATAAGCATTTTCCTATAATCCTGATATATGGACTTTCCTGGAAAACATTAGGCAAATAAGGCAAATAGTCAAATCATGGAGAAAACAAGCAAACAAACAAAAAAAAAAACACTTTGTGTGCTGTAGGTAACAATTAAACTCAAGTTTTCAAGTTTAAGTGTGCTGATTTTTTTTTCATTGTATTGTCATCAGGATCAACTGACTAAATAAATGTATTACAACCTCCTAAACTAAACATTAGACAGATGAACACACAGCTAGCCTTAACAATTCCTCTCTCCAACTTGGGTGATTAAAATGGATTATTAAATGTGTCTCAGACTGAAAAAGGCCAGAGCCATTTATTTTAATAAGAAAAGCAATGCTACATTGTGCTCCGATAATCCTTTAATTCCCCTTCCACAATTGAACAAGTCCTGGATTAGAGCGAGAGAGGCCATCTGGCTCAATATGAGCTAATCGATAGCACGGCCTGCCTAAAATCTGGATTTACTCTGAACCAGCCCACATCATAGATTAGGTTTGATAATTCACTTTAATCCCACATCTTCAGTCTGGAGGTGTCTCTCCACCCGGTCGCCATGATTTTGCCAAGTAAGACATGTTCCTGTATCAACATTACTGTCCTAAAATATAGACCTAACCAAATCCCTACCCCTAAACCTAACCCTACCCATGATTTATTCCTAAAATCAGAGGGACATGATAGGTGAATAACAAGGGTGTAGAAGCACCTAACCCTGATTGTAAGCCTAAAATTGACATTTCCTGAAAATGTATCCCTCAGTTCTGATTGGTTGATTGGAATGTTGTTCCAGGAACATGTTGTACTTGGTGAAATCACGTTCACCCTCTCCACCCACAGGCCCAACTGCATTGGCTGAACCACAACGAACCCACAATCAAGACATCCAAATGACAGCAGCAATGAGTATGAAATATTAGTTTGTCATTCGAACATTACTCATTTGAACAAATATTGCCAACAAAAACTAACCTCGTTGATTTTTACACTAAAAGGATTTGTTTTGTAATGGTCAATAGTATTATTTTTACTTCTGTAATTTTTTTCTTAGTAGAAAAAAGTTTATGAGAAATGGATCACATGTCTGTCTGACAGCAATTTGGATGCAAATTCCCATAGAACACCTTTTCCACATTTAAAGCCCACATACTATAAAGTCACAGTGAATCCTTGTCATGTCAATTTCGATTCTCGTCTTTCTCGACTAGGTTAGTGTGGAACACCGCCAGAAATATCTGCCAAAGGAGTGACAGAACCACAATATTTTTCTGTGTAATTGCTCTGCAGTGTTTATAACACACAACAAATGCGTGCACACACACACACACAGGTTTGTCTTTGTGAAAAGTGGGGACATCCCATAGGCGTAATGGTTTTTATACTGTACCAACCCTACCCCTAAACCTACCGCTTACAGGAAACTTTGTGCTATTTCAGATTTTCAATACACTGCATTCTGTGTGATTTATAAGCGTTTTGAAAAGTGGGGACATGGGGTAATGTCCTGAAAAGTCACCTTCTCCTTGTAATACCTATGTCATACCTTTGTCATTATACAAACGTATGTCCTCATTTGTCACAAAAACGCACGCACACACACACACACACACACACACATAACGATACACTGTCATCATGGCATATATTGTGTGAGTCATTTGCAAGGAAGTGGTTTCAGTGTTAAAGTGCACTTCTCATTCTTAGTTCCATCTGAAACCAGGACTTCAATAGAAGAAAAATACTTTAGTGTCACAATGTATGCATTATTTATTGCTCTTCACTCTAAAGAAAAAAAAGGTTTCTTAATGATTCTTTGCAGTACCTTCAAATAACATTTTTCTTATGAAGAATCAGTTTGCTTGTATAGTGTTCTTGAGTTGTGAGGAATGAAATGAATAGAAATAAAGGAAGGAATGATGGAAAATGTATTCATATTAGCATAATGGTTTCTGGCATCTTTAAAGCACCAGTATAGATGGTTTTCTGAAGAACTAGAGATTAAAAAAAAATGTTGGCATCACAAAACCTTTATTAGTCCCAAATGGAAGCTTAATTTTAAAGGATGGTGTATTGGGCATTGAATGAACATATATTATTCACTAGTCTGTGAAGTGTGAAGTGAGTGTTTAGTCTTTTTTTCTGAATTCAAAGAAATAATAACATCTTAAAAGGGTTAAAGCATTACTCGACTTCTGTTTAGTTTTAGAGGCAGTGGAAGTAGTCGTAACCAAAACAGGAGAGCAGAACGGACCTTTACACCAACAGTGCTTAGATGCTCTGAAATTACTGCAGGATTGTAAAATGGTCTATTTGTCTGCTCAGCCTTTTTGTTCGAAATTCTCTTTGTTAACCTAGTGAACAATCCAGCATTTCTATATAGACCATAGGGAGAGTAGATACTGTACTTGATCTGATGTGAATAAACAATGTTTTCGATTTGAAGATGAGAGCAACAAGATGTAGCTTGTGATACATTCGCACCTTTTTAGAGTAGCTGTTGTAGGATTGTAACCTTATTTTATTCTTAGTGTACCATTCTTCACATTTATTTATGTTTAACTGCTCTGTATAATCATTCATCTTGATACTCTAGATGGGCTTCACTGCTCTCTAACATTGTCACCTATAGTCTTAGCTAGCATGGTGAAATATTATGAGTGTTAAATTGTGCAAAAATTGTTGAATGCTTAGAAAAGTAATAAAAATATGGAAGTTCTCCCCAACTTGTCCTTGGTTTTATATGAATGTATATATAGATTTATTTGTATTTTTTTATGAACAAGCCTTCAGCTGTGCTCAGCATTAGGAAAACACACAAGAATCTCCCACACATTTTTTTTTTTTAAGTGAAACCTCTGATGACATGAATGGTCTCATGTAAAACCAGAAATCGTTGGTGTATTTATTATGTCGTTTGCAGCTCTTTTTCTTTAAGGCCAGAAACAAACTATATGCATGCAGATGAGAATAACACAACGAAGCATATTATTTTAACTATATCACATTTTTTGTGTGAAACAAGATATTCAATGAGAAAAATGTTGGGCGGAATTTGATTTAATGAGGAATTTGATTTAACTGACCATAGAAGAAAACAGTTTAATCATTATAAAGCACCTTTTGGCTATAGTGAAAACGCAACACATACTTGAGATAAGAATAGCATTGGGACACATTTCGGAACACAATGACTCATGGAATTGAGCTAGTTTGAAACATTTGCATTGCACAGAATATGGTCCATATGTCTATTTATTTATGTATATTATATTATTTATATATTTATTTATAAATATATATATATAATATATATATTTATTTATCCTCTTTCCTACTACTTGTTTCACTTCTGTTTCAGTTTTTATAACCATTTCTTACTATGTGTAAGTAAGTTGTTGTTTTTTAGCATGTGTGTTTGGCAGTGTTATGTTTTAGGATTACTGATAAACTACTGTCATTTGATTTGAATCATTTGTATTTGTTATTTATTTTAATTTTAGTTAAATTATGTCTAAATTTATTATGTCTGTATAAGTCTTTTATTAAGTTTTATTTAACTGGAGTTATTTTAATACTTCAACAAACTAAATGGAAATGAAATAATATATATATTGAATTTATGTATATATATATATATTGTATATACATTGTGTATGTATATATATAAATGTATGTATGTGTGTATGGTTGTACATACACATATATGTTTGGCTTAGTGTTATGTTAGAATCATTATTATACTCTTATACCTTTCGTTCTTTAATATTTGTAATTGTTTTTAGCTTTATTTAGGTTTTCATTTAAATGTTAAGTTTTGAAATTTGGTTGTATGCATTTGTCATTTTGATTTAATTTCTTTATTTTTAAAAAAAAAATGTGTATAAGTAGTATTTATAAAGTTTTAGCTTTTAGTTTTGGATCTGTTTTGATACTACAATTGATTGCTTCTGTTGTCCTCATTTGTAAGTCGCTTTGGATAAAAGCGTCTGCTAAATGACTAAATAAATAAAATAAATAAATATCTAACCATAATAATACCATACCATATGAAATACCACAAAAACTCTAACATGCACACACACACTTTCTTACTCTGTCTCTCTTTCCTAGCAGGCATGGATTGTGTAGAGGAGGAGGTGGATTTTAACTGGGAGGAGTACCTTGAAGAGACTGGAGCCACTGCCGCCCCTCACACTTCATTCAGACATGTGAGAACACACAGACAGAATGTCTCTGTCTCTGTCTCTCTCTCTCTCTCTCTGTCTCTCTCTGTATACATAAACAAACACACACTTACTATCATTCAAATGTTTGGGATCAGTAAGATCTTTAATATGATGCTGAAAAATTCAGCTTTGCCACCACAGGAATAAATTATATTTTAAAGTAAATATTTCACAGTATTTGTTTTCACTGTATTTTTGATCAAATAAATGCAGCCTTGGTGAGCATGAGAGGCTTATTTAAAAACATATTAAACATTTTAGAAATCATTTATAGTTTAAAGTATATTCAAATAGAAAATATTTCTTTTAAGGGGAGACACTGCAGGCAAAAACAGTTTTTTCATGCACCTGTCAAGTTTGAGATTTGGGGCTTTTTGGTTTTTCATAAAGTGTTTTTTCAGACTAGTGGAAAGAAAGCATCCAAAAGACACTGTTAATTGTTTCTTTTATAGCACTTTATCTATTTGTGTCAATAGATTTCTATTATAATACTTCTAATATTTCTCAAAATGAGTTTTTTTTCCTACACCGAGCCATAAATCTCCACTTCAGTAGCCCTTACACACACCAAACTTTACATTTTTATTCCTGTCTATATCCTGAAGGTTTTTACAGAGGGATTTGTTCATGTATAAATTGCTTGATTATATACAACATTTTATTCCCCTCCAAATTGTGAAAATGTAGTGTTTTCTCTCCGTTCTAAGCATTTTCTGAATTATAGAGTGACAAAAATGAGAGACCCAAAATTCCCTCTGTAAAAGCTTTTGACTCTAATATGTAAAAAAAAATGTAACAAGAATTTTGAAACTGACATCATCAGGTGTTTAGATTTTTGTACTAGAAATGTATGCAAATTAGCGCATATTTCAATAAATATTTAAACCTAGCATTTTAGAAAACTTGTAATACAAAAAATGTTTGCAATTCTCAATGTAATCAATCAGCTGGGTAAGTAAGGCGATAACTATTAGTTTTTTTTTTTACTCTATTCACCTGCAGTGTCTAGCCTTAAGTTGTAATAATTTTAATATTTGTAATTGTAATAATATTTCACAATATTACTGTTTTTACTGTATTTTTGATCTAATAAATGCAGCCTTGGTGAGCATAATAGACTTCCTTCAAATATATTAAATATTTATTTGGGAGTCTCCTACAATAGGTTTACATGCATGCAAGGTCAAAAAACACTTTTGTTTTCTCAAAATATGTATTTACTTTCACCTCATTTTCCAAGGATTCTCAAACGATTCATTCGAAGCAGTTCTAAAATTCAGTCTCTCTAAACCCCTCCTTTCCGTGAGCCTGCTCTGCTCTGATTGGTCAGATGGCCCAGTCTGTTGTGATTGGTGTACCGCGTACAGCGCGTGTTGGAAATCATTTGCCCATTGCCATAGTTCCATATTTTGAACGCTTGATAAAAAATATAAACATTTATTATTTATCATACATACAGGTTGTGATACAGTGGAGCCAGCTGGTCCAAATAAACTGGGTACTGAGCCATCTTTCAAGAGCGAGTGTTTTGTGAATCCCGCGTTGAACTCCCCGAGATTAGAGAAGCAGACGTCAGTAAAATTACAGGAACACAAAAATAGGCGGGCATTATGGAAATGTGTTACCCCGTGATGTGTAGCCGTCAAAGAAGTGGGATTCGGGATACTGACGACTCGTTTAGGCTGTTCAGAGTCGATTATGAGAGGCTTATTTAAAAACATATTAAACATTTTAGAAATCATTTATAGTTTAAAGTATATTCAAATAGAAAATATTTCTTTTAAGGGGAGACACTGCAGGCAAAAACAGTTTTTTCATGCACCTGTCAAGTTTGAGATTTGGGGCTTTTTGGTTTTTCATAAAGTGTTTTTTCAGACTAGTGGAAAGAAAGCATCCAAAAGACACTGTTAATTGTTTCTTTTATAGCACTTTATCTATTTGTGTCAATAGATTTCTATTATAATACTTCTAATATTTCTCAAAATGAGTTTTTTTTCCTACACCGAGCCATAAATCTCCACTTCAGTAGCCCTTACACACACCAAACTTTACATTTTTATTCCTGTCTATATCCTGAAGGTTTTTACAGAGGGATTTGTTCATGTATAATTTGCTTGATTATATACAACATTTTATTCCCCTCCAAATTGTGAAAATGTAGTGTTTTCTCTCCGTTCTAAGCATTTTCTGAATTATAGAGTGACAAAAATGAGAGACCCAAAATTCCCTCTGTAAAAGCTTTTGACTCTAATATGTAAAAAAAAATGTAACAAGAATTTTGAAACTGACATCATCAGGTGTTTAGATTTTTGTACTAGAAATGTATGCAAATTAGCGCATATTTCAATAAATATTTAAACCTAGCATTTTAGAAAACTTGTAATACAAAAAATGTTTGCAATTCTCAATGTAATCAATCAGCTGGGTAAGTAAGGCGATAACTATTAGTTTTTTTTTTTACTCTATTCACCTGCAGTGTCTAGCCTTAAGTTGTAATAATTTTAATATTTGTAATTGTAATAATATTTCACAATATTACTGTTTTTACTGTATTTTTGATCTAATAAATGCAGCCTTGGTGAGCATAATAGACTTCCTTCAAATATATTAAATATTTATTTGGGAGTCTCCTACAATAGGTTTACATGCATGCAAGGTCAAAAAACACTTTTGTTTTCTCAAAATATGTATTTACTTTCACCTCATTTTCCAAGGATTCTCAAACGATTCATTCGAAGCAGTTCTAAAATTCAGTCTCTCTAAACCCCTCCTTTCCGTGAGCCTGCTCTGCTCTGATTGGTCAGATGGCCCAGTCTGTTGTGATTGGTGTACCGCGTACAGCGCGTGTTGGAAATCATTTGCCCATTGCCATAGTTCCATATTTTGAACGCTTGATAAAAAATATAAACATTTATTATTTATCATACATACAGGTTGTGATACAGTGGAGCCAGCTGGTCCAAATAAACTGGGTACTGAGCCATCTTTCAAGAGCGAGTGTTTTGTGAATCCCGCGTTGAACTCCCCGAGATTAGAGAAGCAGACGTCAGTAAAATTACAGGAACACAAAAATAGGCGGGCATTATGGAAATGTGTTACCCCGTGATGTGTAGCCGTCAAAGAAGTGGGATTCGGGATACTGACGACTCGTTTAGGCTGTTCAGAGTCGATTCTGTCTTTTGGGAGAAAATAACTTTATTTAAACTTTGCAGATCATTAACATTCACATACAGCTACAATACACACTGCATGAAAGGAATTTTCGAAATGGCATAATAGGGGCACTTTAAAAAACCTTACAGAGCCCAAACGTTTGAATGCATTTTGAATTGAATTGTTGATGTTGTAAATGGTGTTTTGGCACAAAGTTACTTTGTAAAAGCTAGAAAAGACATATTCCAACATGGGCACATAGTGTAACATGTTTCACTTAAAAATCATGAGCAAGGTTAAAAATACAACCCAGAAAACATGAAATACAGGTTAGGTTTGGTGCTGTGTTGGGTTGATGTCTAATGCCAAATAAGGTCCTGAGAATCACACACATTAACAAAATAGGAGGAGTGCAATTTAACGGTAACACTTTACAACAAGGTTTATTAGTTAATTAACTACTTTAGTTAACATGAACTCAGCATGAACAATACTTCTGCAGCATTAATCGTAGTTAATGTTAATTTCAACATTTATTAATGCATTATTAAAATCAAAGGTTGTGCTGGTTAACATTAGTTAATGCACTGTGAATTAACATGAACTAACCGTGAGCGACTGTTTTTTCATTAACTAACATTAACAAAGATGTATAAATACTGTAATACATGTAATGCTCATTGTTCATTCATGTTAGTTAAACTAATGGAACCTTATTGTAGAGTGTTACCCAGTGTTTTGAGACCATCAATAAGCCCATATATTTTTCATGGAAGAATACATCAAATTTGCATTATTACATCACACTAATCTGACTTAACCTCACAGGTGGAGCTCAGCCTTCAGAGCAGTTTTCAGCCTGGAATGAAGCTTGAAGTAGCTAATAAGGGCAGTCTGGATACATATTGGGTGGCCACCATTATAACCACATGTGGTCAGTTGCTATTGTTACGCTACTGTGGCTATGGCGACGACCGCAAGGCTGACTTCTGGTGTGACGTCATGACAGCCGAACTTCATCCTGTCGGCTGGTGCGCTCAGAACAACAAAACACTTCAGCCACCTAAAGGTAAGGCGCAAGTGCACACAAACGTAAACCAGCACACCTTCAGAGATGCATGTATACTCAAACATAGATAAAGCTCATGTTGAAACAGTCCCTCCTGTCTAAACATATGACATCCACCCACACACAAACACACACACACACACCCCCACACAGCTTCTTGCTATGTAGCAAGTCCACCTTGTTTGTTCAAATAACCGCACCAAGAGTTTAAATATTTATGCTAATCAAACGAACAATGCAAAGTTGTTTGAAAATAAACACCTTGTCCAAAATACAATACAATACAATACAATATTTATTTATAAAGCACATTTAAAAAACAACCGAAGTTGACCAAAGTGCTTTACAGAATAGAATAAAAACATTGAAATAATAATAAATAAAACAACAATTTAAACATTTAAAACACGACAATAATAAAACAATAACTGAACCAATGATCAAGGGGTATTGAAAGCTAGAGAGAACAGATATGTCTTTAGAGCAGACTTAAAAGTAGAAATAGAGGGAGCTAATCTAATGTGAAGAGGAAGCCTGTTCCAGAGTTTCGGACGATTTTACAACATACTGATCTGTTTGTCAAATTTTAAGTTATGATCAAACAGAACGACCAGATTTCTTGCACATTGAGCTTCATATGGGGCCAGAGAGCCACAGCCAACATCTAACACACAATTTTCCTTATGCCCAAATATAATTATTTTGGTTTTATTTTCATTTAAATTTAGAAAATTGCTTTAAAAGCCAAAGCTTAAGTTCGTCTAAGCAGGCCAACATTGGTTGTAAGCCATTTTTATCATAATGATTTAAAGGAAAATATATCTTGAGTATCATCAGCATATAGATGAAAGGTTACTTGTTAAAAATGGAAGCCAGAATTTGTGAGCATTTGTGAGAATTTGTGAGCACTGTAATGTCTATAACAGCTGGAAAGCCTGAGACAGGATTGTTTTCTTCCAAAGCTGGGATTGATTCTTTGGAACTGGAAGCAGGTTATCAGTGTTATCCAACAGACCATATAATTTTTTCATGAACTTGAACCTGTATTTTCAATGTTTTCCCAAAAACAGCAATGGTTAACAGTCACAACTCTCTATAATAATCCAGCACTTATTATTTTGTGCATGTTTATATTGTTAACACTTTCTATTATTGTATAATTCGCTATTATTGTTAGTAAAAATAAGTTCTTAGTGTAGTATAAAATTTCTTACTGTAATCCTGAAAAATTATTTGCTTTAGACAGTCCATGGCCCAAATAAAGTTAGATAGGGTTAGGGGTATGAAACAAATGTAACTGAAATGGAAACTTAAGACTTGAGAACACAAGTTACACATTTGCTGAAGATGTTTCACTATCCTAAAGAGCAGATTCGTTAGAGTAGAATAAAACATAATTAGAGTTAGAAATTAAACTCTTGGAAAGTCTGTGGAGTTAATATAAAAATTGTAAAAAACGTATTTGGGAAAGATTAGAAATACAGGACAGGTGTGGGTTTAATGAAATAAATATCTACTGGGCCAGAAATTAATTATAATTTTAAGATTTAAAAAATCATTAATATAAATCTATAATTTTATAAGTTTATACGTTTTTTTATTGAAAAAGATTGTTTATAAAAACCATATTTGCTGTGATTTTCAGGTTTGCAGAAGTAACCAACGGCAATTAACCAAAAAAATTAAAAATCATGACATTTTCATTGGAAAAATGGAGCGCATATTATTTGTCTTTCTAGTTATTGCTCAGATGTACACTATTTCTTGCCACAAGTGCAATTTCTATACAATTTTCAAAAATCCATATCCAGCAGTCACAAATAAGTGGAAAAAATTCAATTCATTGGTCCATCTAAACACACGTATATCAGATCTTAGGCTACAGGCCACATGACTATTTTAGGGTTACAGCATTCCTTGTTGTACTGAGGTATAGCAGAACTTTGCCGTTTGCCTACTCTGTACAACAGATTTGAGATTTGAACCCTTAAACATGCGGCGTATGACTTCCACCTCTGGGTTGCTGTCAAATATTTGCAATGCTCTCAAATGTATTGTATTTTATCATATCATTTAATCCTACATGCTTTGACATTAAGACTTAAAGTGTGTCAACAAACAGGTTATAACAGGTAATCATGGAGCCTGACAGCGTCTTTTTCCTGTCAGAAACATTTGACCTGATCTCCCCCAAGACATCTTTAAATCATAATTTGGTGGATTTACTAATGTTTGACAATTTCAGTATCTTTTTGAAGCACTCCACACTTCATAGAATGGGTATCATTCAGTAAAAAAAAAGAGAAACTAGCTAATTTGTTAAACCTGTCCTGGGAGAATCTGACCATATTATGCCCATATTAGAAAAGGTTATTTTGGCAGAAAAGTTTTTGAACGAGAAAGATAATCTGTTGAACAAAGTGTTCTGTTGTCAAATGTATGCCTGAAAGGTCAAGCAGCAATAACAGGCGATGCTGATCCCAATTCTGGCAGGATATTACATTATAATAAAACATATGCAGTGTTTTAACATGTCTGATTCTAGTTGGCTTGGGGACAACACTGAATTTGAATCATTCTTAATATTGCATAATAGTGTTCAGTCACAATAGATGGCTTTAAAGTGATAGTTCACCCAAAAATTCTAATTCTGTCACCATTTATTCACCCTCATGCCGTTACAAACTTTTATGACTTTCTTGTCTGGAACATGAAAGAAGTTATTTTAAGAATTTTTTTTCTTCCATTCCATATTCTATAAATTGTCTGATAACCAACATGCATTCAGTTTTAGAATGAGTCAATGCTGACAGAATTGTATTTTATTTTTTCCAAGTGTGCGTCAGTAGCACATTCATATTTTTCTCTCTTAACCTTATACATTTCATATAAACTTGATCTCATATAGTGATGTGTTGCATTCTGCCATTGTAGCAAGATCATCTTGAAGGGATTTATTTTGCGATAATGACTAGCTGATTTGAGCTATTTTCCTGCTTTTTACTTGGATGCATATTTTAGCAATGAGGAAACTATGCCACTGGTATTTGATTGTAGTATTGGATTTTTTTATTTAAATTTAAAATTGACCTGTTTATTTCATCCATCCATTATGCATATTAAAGGAGCATTCCAGGTTAAATACTCTATGCAATACAGTATGCATAATGTAAAATTCAACTGTATGGAATGCATTTGTGGAATGCTGTCGGTTACTACCGAGAATACTTTCAATTTGAAAAAAAAAATATGTAGTAATCCACTGTCAGTGTACACTCTAAAAAAGAATGAATTAGCTCAACAACAACAACAAAAAATTAACGCAACAGTTTGCATAATTTTTTTTGAGTTATGACAGCTTAAAAATCATGTTCAACCAACAAACTACATTGAGTTAGAAGAACTTAATAATTTGTAACAACTAATGGATTTGTGAGCCTGGAAGCAATTTATATTATCTTTTTTTTTCAATTCAAATCCACAGCTATCATAGCACATGCTAAATGTAACTTATGTAGCAGCATGTATAATGAACAAGTAAGAAGTTACTTGTCACTGGCATTAGCGCAGCCATTGCTAATAGAGTCAATGTAGTGTTTACCTTCATGTGGTCTACTCTTCAGCACAACGGTAAACACAAAAACTTCAACATAACAGAAACTGTTTTAAATGTCAAACATAACAGGGTTAAACACTAACAGGTCTTTCCCTTCACTAAAAAACACATAAAACAACACTTAATTTCAACATTTACTCTCCTTGTTCAGTCTTATGCAAAGCATGCAGGGAGCTAGAAATCCACTACCCAATTTCAAAGTGAACAAGACAATTTAATTGAGTTATTTTAACTTAATTTTTAAAGAAATTCAATCAG